TGCTCTTCCGATCTCCCCAAAACCCCAAAACCCCGTCAATGATTGTAAAATTAATTTTAGTATTAGATTAAAATTATAAATTCAAAAATGAGTGCATAAAATAATCATTAGTCCTAGACTTTGTAGCAGCCTAGAAATAGGTCTAATTATAATTCAAATCAGATTATAGAGGATGTTGAAAATGATAGCGAGTAGGACTCCTAGCTGCTCGATGGAGATGTTGACAATATTGAGCAATAAGAAATCGGAGAGAGATAATCATTAGATGATTAGGAGTTGCCAGAAGATGAGGACGAAGAGGGGAATCAATACTATGATTCTCAAGAGATAGAAGATGAAAATATGGAGGACGCCAATGTACCAATCAATCTTCCACAGAAAACTGGTAACATCGATCCTGAATTGGATGAGCAAATAGAGGAAGAGAAGATATACTCAATTTGTGGGGAAACGAAGACCAAGATCCAAAGTGTGGAGCTCTATGGATTCCTTTTCTATAATTTAACTTGCTTGCTCATGGTAGTTTTCCTGATATGGTGCTATGTGCCTACTTCAATTCTTAATCAGTGGGGGATCTACTACTATCCAAACAAGTACTATGCTATTGCTTTTCCTACTTGGTTCTTAGTTACTGTAGTATCTGGAATTATGCTCTACGTATCAGTAGCAATGATACATTGTCACCCTAAACACTCTTTCAAAACAATGCAAGACTATGCTTCAGTCCTAAGCAAGCCTAAAGACATAGATATTCAGCATGATAATTAAGCTGAAACCTCAACAGTCGGTAACGACTCTCCCTCAAGTAAATTCATTTCACCTAGAAATGTGGCTACCTTAAAGAAATCGACCAGTGTGTTTATCCCAACTAATACCAACGGCAATATGCTTCGAAATAGGAAGACAAGACAATCTAATTAAAATATAACTCAAATGAAAAAGGAATCTAGAAATACTTATGGCAGAAGAGACATCGATGAACTCAAAATAAACTATTTTGCCAAGATTCCAGATATAGTTGAGCTACCCATTACAGTAGTGAACAACGTTCTCTACTCAAAGGCTCAATGGAAAACCGAATGAACATAGCTATATCAGCCCATAAAATAACAAAATGCATATATCAATTCTCAAGATTTAACTCTTTTAGATACTTAGGGTTTTGGGGTTTTGGGGTTTTGGGG